TTTGGAAGATAAAATCCTGAGTATTTGTTTTCGCCAGCACGAGTTAAACCGGTGAGTACGTTTTATTTCGATAGATCAAAACTATTTTGACCAATACATTACTGACCACATGTTATATGTTGGTATACCTGCTCTATGAGAACCTCGATAAGAACCAAATAAGAGGACAAGTGAAAGATTTGGTTCCCAAATAATTTGAAATGTATGAAACACCGAATAGCAAAACACATGGGATTTACCATTTAATCTTCTCAATCATTTTACTCAATATTTATTTATTATAACGTGATGATATGTTTCTCTAATATTATGTTTGTTTTTGTCACACTGTTGATCTTAAGAAATATCTGTTTAATTTAGCTTATAAATGATTACCATTACCTTTCATGTCTGTACCTTTCCTCTTGCACTTTTGTATATATTTATCATGTATTTCATATTTTGCACAAGCTGCGCCTTGAGCGTATGATTGTCAAGTGGATTTGGCGCCATACAAATCTTATGTATTATTGTTATTATTATTTTTATTATTAGGAACAGATTTTGTTTCTCTCTCGTAGCCATTGATTCCCCACATACAGACCGATTAAAGTGTCTGGAATGGAGAAGACAAAAATAAGAACTAAAAAAGAAAAACTTGTACATACATATGAAATGTGTTTGACTTTAGAATATCAAGTAATCTAATTTCTTGATTGTATTAATTTTAATCTGCTAGGTTTGAAAAAGAAATAAAAGTGTTTATAAGATCATTCATTAATTCACCATATGATGTCATTAGAGTGTATATTGCCTATACATTGTTAACAGAAAAATAGGACCTTTAAGAGAGTAGCAGAGGAAATTAAATGAAAGTGTAAATGAAAGGAAGAAGGGTAAAAGAAGGGAGACGGGAATATATATATATATATATTATATATAAATATAGAGAGAGAGAGAGAGAGAGAGAGAGAGAGAATGGGTGTGGCACAACACTGGTATGGAATAAAATGCCATGTGACACATGAATACGTAATTTCGTATCAGCAGCAACAGTAAACTGCAGTGCGTCCCAGAAAAAAACAAAACCGAGAACTATCGATTTGTTATCATAACTTAATCATAAATATAAGTAATACATTATACATATTTTTAAAGCTTAGATCCTCTTCTTTCATTTGATGCAACTCATATGATGCAAATTTCACGCATGAGAGATTGAAAACAATTTGGAGAAAGGGTACCAAAAAGTCATTTTGGGGGACGGTATCTGAATTTCATGAAGAAAATCGCATTTCCAAAAAGTTTACGTTTCTGCCCTTGCATATGACACCTCAATCAGGAAAAATAAGCCAGGAATAACAAAGATATGTTTAATCACGGAAGAGGTTTACGGTACACCATGTGTAAAGTCCTCGAGGGACTGAGGAAAGTGGATAGAAAATAGAAGTGAGATGGAAAGGCGAGAAAGTGGAGGTTGGAAGGAAGAGTATCTTTCGGAAGTGAGTATAGTCCTGAAAAGGACTGTAAACCAGAAAGTTGTAGGAGGGATGAGAGGTTTGAGTAGAAGACTGGATTGAGTTGGAGAGTTGAGTAGGCGAGTAGAGTTGCAGAGCAGGAGCAGGAGAGTAGACTCGACGTTTCGGACAGGTTGACTGTCCGTCTTCAGGAGTCTACTCTCCTGCTCCTGCTCTGCAACTCTACTCGCCTACTCAACTCTCCAACTCAATCCAGTCTTCTACTCAAACCTCTCATCCCTCCTACAACTTTCTGGTTTACAGTCCTTTTCAGGACTATACTCACTTCCGAAAGATACTCTTCCTTCCAACCTCCACTTTCTCGCCTTTCCATCTCACTTCTATTTTCTATCCACTTTCCTCAGTCCCTCGAGGACTTTACACACGGTGTACCGTAAACCTCTTCCGTGATTATTCATACCACCATGCAAACCTTCAAACATCATCCAAAGATATGTTTGTTTAAATTTATGTTTGCATTTCCATAATTTTATTAAACGAATTCGTTTTCATTGGCTGTCTACCCTAACAAAAGAGAAGACGAAATACTGCATGCATGGCTGATCGTCAACGAAACGAAGTTTGATGTTTATTTCTACGGCAGGCAGCCAGTGAAAACGAATTCGTTTGATAAAATTATGGAAATGCAAGCATTACATTAAACAAACAGAACTTTGTTATTCCTGGCTCATACTTCCTGATTGAGATGTCTTATGAAAGGGCAGAAAATGAACCTTTTGGAAATGTGATTTTTCTCTTTGAAAATTCAGATACCGTCCGCCAAATGACTGTTTGGTACCCTTTCTCCAAATTGTTTTAATCACTCATACGTGAAATGTGCATTATATGAGTTGCATCGAATGAAAGAGGAGAATCTAAGCTTTGCAAATATGTGTCATTTATTAATTATAATTGTGATTAAGTTATGATGAAACATCAATAACTCTCGGTTTCTTTTTTCTTCTTCTGGGACGCACTGTATAAGGATAAACTGATATAAAGTCGACATGTAATAGAATATCAACTCAACATCATGGTCTAGGGAGTTTAAGTAATATATACATTTCCCAGCTTGGCTTACTGTTGACATCATTACCCCTCGAACTGCATTCATTTGTCAATGAATCTAAAATCTAAATTGCTTTAATTACATTCAACAAATATGATTGATACTTTTAAAAAAATTGATAAAAATCTGTTATAATATGATAATGCATTTGTAATAAACGAGAAAGATTTCATTTTGGAAAGAGATTATAGACTGACGATCAGGCAGAAATGCTTGCTCATCTCAGCTTATCAATCAGCCTAAAATCCAAACTGTGCAATTGAACAGTTGGGCATAATATGATCAGCTGTCTGCAAGAACGCAGTTACTGCCATTGAAAATATAATGATGTAATGTCCTTCTTGCCGGCAGGCAACGATACACAGTGTGAGTTCGATGTGTTTAAACGAACAGCTGGAGAGGAATTATAACCTTCGATAGCACAACCCCTGTTTATAGGTGAAAGTAAATCAATTCTACTTTTGTCACCCGATACACACACTGCTGTCACTCCACATCATTTAACACTTGTGTTCCGATATATACGATGCATTAACTAGCATTGGTTAGTAGAAAAATACTCCCGAGGGGCGATGTTGTTATGTCTGATATTTTTACCATCCTGACCTTGTAATATGCAGTCTAAATAAAATATAGAACACGTTCTTGAACTTGAACTTGAACTTGGTAATTAGTTATGAAATACAGTTTCAAATAATGTAATGTAAGAAATAAGGTCAAAGGTTCATAGCGTATCGAAGCAGGGTTTAGTGCAATTGCAAGGAAACATATTTATATTCCTATTCATGCGCATATCTTTATCAATATGCATATTCATATTCGAATTCATATCTATATAATAAGATCTTTTCAAAGGACACGGGGATCGACAGTCCAGTGATATATCCACTCGACCACGACACCTCTACCATTACTGTAATTGTCTATGATTGTGACTATTTCTTTTTGTCAACTGATCTGAAAACTTTTACCAGTGATACACGAATATCCCAATGGATAATAAATGCTTAATTTTAATCGCATGTCTCCTTGTCGTCCGAGATCTACATTTTTCTAGAATTTACTTGCGCTGTTTTTTTCCAATTCTCTGTTATATAATATCCTAATTCCAAGAAGGGCATTACATATTTTGTAATTTGGCTCATAACCTTTTGATTCACAGTCCCTAACAATACACACCACATGCACGAGTAGAAAGGCCATTGCTTTCTGCACACACTGTGTCCATTTTTGTTTCATGACCATAATGAATTTGATGCCAGGAATATTAAAAACGAATATAAGCTTTATAATCGTTAAATTGAAAATACATTGAGAAATTCAAAACCATATTTTCCGAATCGAAATTGGCCACTTGTTCAAGTTTTTTAGTTATCCATGTATACTGTTTTCAGAGACATTTATATTTCAATCGAACAATATAGCAATAAAAGAAAGATATTACAAATTTGAGGAATAACGTGTGATCAATTTAGCCCTTAAAGGGGATGTAGCATGGAAAATACTGGCTAAAGCCATCTACGACCTTTTTTGGGACAACTGCACGTAAACGAATGAACTTGATTAACGGTCAGCGCACTCTAGCGTTCGCGAAACAGACCGAAGTTCGCCTCACGCTTCGGTTTCGCGTATGTTGCACGCACGTGAATACTGCGGTCGCATCGTCCGTAGTCGTATTATACCCGATTGGCCCCGAGTCAGGCCACGGAAAAGACACGTAGTCTCTTCATGCTACATCCCCTTTAACGAATCTAGGCTTGGCAGGATTATGATACAATGCAACATGCCAGCATTCAAAAGAAACACAGTGTGTGATTCATATATACACTGATATTAATAGCCTTTGATAGTTCCCACGATCTGTGCACGTCTGGAAAGCTCAATTCGATCGCTTAAAAAAATGAAAACAACAATCAATATTATCTGTCGCAGACAAAAATATAACATGCTGTAAACTAGCTGTTCTCTGAGGTGTAATAATTAAGTCTCATTTACGACCAGTTAATCTATGCCCAAACCATGTTCATATTATGTATGAGAGTTTAGGGGCCATTCCGAGAGGCAGACAGCCCCCGAGACCGACAATTCAGGAAAGTCCGTGTGGCCGACTGCGCATGAGAATTAAAAAAAAAAAAAAATACACAATAACTATAGAAAAACAGGAAGTATCAACAAGTCTACGAGACCGATGGTCTATGGGACCGACGTCCCACGCTTCCGACTGTCAGTAAAGGTTACACAAGGATAGATAGAAAAATGTCGGTCTCTTGTGCATCTGGTCGTGTGAATCTAAAAACTGTCTAGAAGTCTAAAGAGTAATAACTAATACAAATTCATGTATTACCTCTTACCTCTATACAGATAATCAACCAGCACGGCTGGACATACCAAACCCAGTGGGCAGTTGTAGATTAGTTTGGTCACATCAAACCAAGATGCTTACTTTCACATTGACTTTCGCTGTGTTAGTTGCCATGGCAACAGCTCAAACCACCACGCCTAATACCCCAACGGAGGAAATGCCAATGGAAGAGTGGTATCCCTTCAAGAATCCAGGAGAGATCCTTCCAGAAGGAGCGTTGACAGTGCCTTACATTCTGGACATCGTAGGTGGGTTGTGGATGCAATATCGCCTGATAGACTCATACACATACCTCTGCTCCGAGGTGCTTCCAGAGCTGTCCCAGAAGATCCCAGAGATTGGGAATATGAGCGACACCTGGACACCAGTTTGCGAGGAGGTTATCTCTGCAAGGAATGACGACGAGGGGTTCAATGCCACCGAATTCTGCAACGCTCTTGTTGCTTTGGGGAGTGACGTGTTTCCAGCCCAACCGAACATGACTGATCCTGGAGAGATGCCAGCCATGACTGGGACGGACATGATGGAAATGCCTGCAGGAGACGAAATGCCGACGCCCGGCCCCGATGGGACACTTGAGTTACCTGTAGATCTATCTAGTTTGTTATCACCCTTGCTTGGTTCCCTAGGAAACGTCGCCAATGATCTCTATGGCATCGACATCATGGATCCACTCACCATATGTCCTCAAGCTCATCTCTTCCTGGAACCATCTCTGCCAAAACTAATCTACGATTTCGGGACCGAGTTCCTGAATACCTTATTGACCACAACGGCTCCTGATTGTGATAAACTGAATGAATTTCTTGAAGGTTTAGGGATCGATTCCACCTCGGAGCTATATCCGATTATGCAGGAAGTTGAAGCGCTCGTTTACAAAGCCATGGGATTCGAAAGTAGGGAGGATCTCTGCGAAAATGTCACCGAAGCTTTGAATGACATGAGTAAGTGAATTTATCATATCTGTATCAGCAGTAGTAACAGTAGTAGCGATGGTGGTGGTGATGTTAGGAGTAGTAGTAGTAGTAGTAGTAGTAGTAGTAGTGGTAGCAAAGAGGAGGAGGATGAGGAGGAGGAGGAAGGAGGAGGAAGAGGCCTAGAACTAGTAAAAATAGAAGTAGGATATCGAGTTAAAATAGTAATCACATTGAAATTGAAAATTTGTGAAAGTATATCTGTATACCCGGCCTGCAGCAGGGCTTACAGAGCATCCACGTGACCGAGCACCAATGAGACCGAAAGTTCGAAAATAAGTACTCCTCTGAAAATCAATTAGACCAAAACATTGTAAGGCTAAGGTGAATTTAGGTCTTAAAGCCTCACTGTACTACTTGTAGCTACTTGCTACCTCTATATAGGAAACAATGCCTAAGCGGTGCCTGTTGGTCCCCCATGATCTTCTTTTTCTTATGTTAATTGAGAGCTGAGTTGATGAGATAACCACCTGTCAGTGACCACGCTAATCCCTCTTATCCCTCCTGGCCACAATAGTGCAGAGGAGCTTTAAGGTCCTTCGTTCGGTTCGTTCCCGAGAATTGTTGGCTATCTTTGTGGTCTCAAATTTGTTCGACGTATCATTGACAATATCATCACATTTCTCTTGTGTGAAGACGTCCTCGTTCTATCCTGATCTTTCTCTTGATCAGTACATGTTGGAAGACAAAAGAAAATAAATTAATTAAAACAAACAAAATAATTAAATATATGTACTGCTCTGTTGTGTGTGGATGTGTTGGTGCGTGTTTGTGTTTGTGTGGGTGTGGGTGTGTTTAATTGGGTAATAAAGACGTGTACCAATCACAATTGATTATTTACGTCCACGGACCGACTTTCAATACCACAATCCGAAAGACGTGGCTCAGTCTCGAATCGGGGTCCGCCTGAGTGGCCCGAATTCACAAAGGAGGTTTGTCGACAAACCTTGGTTTTCGTGCGTGATATGACGCGTTTCGACGCGTTTTTACAAACCAGGTTTGTAAAAAAAACGCGACAAAACGCGTCATATGACGTACATAAACCTCGGTTTGTCGACACACCTCCTTTGTGAATTCGAGCCAGTCAGTTTGTAGACTAAGACAGAGAGCTGACCAGACATTATCGCAAAGCCAACTCACATCTCCTTGAGTCCCTATCAAGTTGCAGTGGCCTTGTTTTCTGTTCCATTGATATTTTCTTCTTTATTGTAACGCATACTTGTAACACTTGAACATTTTGTTATTGCACTATTTCAGCAACTAAAGACCTGGCAAAGAAGGTACTCAACCATCTCTTCCTAATCGTAACCAACGAGGATACGTGTGGAACCATAGCCCATGACGCCATCAACATCATCAATGACGTCATAATGATGATGACTCCGATGGACAACTCTACTGAATTCCAATTCACCATAACTGATGACGTAATCTACCAGTATACCGGGTTTATGAGCATTGAGGATGCATGCGAGGCCATCGATGTAGCTTTCTCAGGTGAAAATACATTTCGCCCCCCCCCCCCCAGGCCTCTTCTCAAGCAAAATCAAAATGACAATTGGAAAAACTTCGCTAAATAAATATTTCCACATATTTCCAAGGTATCATAATGCCTGTGGATATTACAGGTTGTTTACGAAATGTCTCAATTATTATCGTAAATTATCGTAAAATCATAAGAATGCGAAAATGTAAGGCCTTTACAAGGCTCTCAAATTTGCTCCCAAGACATAGAATTAATACAAATTCTTGTAAATTCTGGATTTTGCACCCTGTCACCAAAGTCGTATTCTGCTCACTCAAGCAATACAAATTATTAGTTTTTGTGTGTGTTTATGATGCATTCTCTAGGTCGAGAAAAGCCAGTACATCTTTGAATTGTTTGGATGGAAATTAGACAGTGAATAGCTTTACCACCTTCCGTTTCCCCCGGGCAAGGGGAGAGGAGAGAAGGGGGATACAAACCCAAGCATTCATTCAACCGGCCTTCGTATTGACTCTATTGAGTATCTCGTTTATCTATAATCATTCATCTTTTATCGGCAATTGTAAAAAAAAAAAAAAAAGAGACATCACCGTTTAATGTCAACAGTCTGATACAGATACTGATATAACGGTGTTATTCTTAAGGTCAAATAATACTGGATGATTTTTACCAAGAGATGGCGCCAGAGCATATAATATAGCAATGGTATATTTAAGAAAGGTGCAGTCCCCTTTGATATGTCCCCAAAATCTGGCAGCAAGGGTAAAGGGAAAGAATAAAAGAAGGAAATATAGAAATATATAATGATTTAATAAAGACAGACATAAAAGAAGGATGAGAAGATTAAAAATAAGAAGAAGAAGAGGAAGAAGAAGAAGAAGGAGAAGAAGAAGAAGAAAAAGAAGGAGAAGAACAAGAAGAAGAAGAACAAGAAGAAAAAGAAGGAGAGGAAGAAAAAATTGAGGGTTCATGGTAAAACAAAGGGGACCGTAGCTTTAACTTCCGTACCGACCATAGTCTTTTTCGTAATCCTTTCTTTGCAGGGTGTCACACGAAAGGTTTCGACCGAGATGCTTGTAACATCTGCACCATGTCAACGTCTGATGGCGTCCCATCATTCCTCTCGTCCAATCACATCGACTGTAACATGAAGTGCCCCTTAGGTAAGATACTACGATACATACTCATACTCACAGACAGTTGCCCGAATTCAAAAAAGGGGTTTTCGACAAACCTATGTTTACGTGCGTCACATAACGCGTTTCGATGCGTTTCAGACCAAAGTTTAGGTTTGTGTGCGTCATATGACGCGTTTCGACGCGTTTTTACAAACCTTGTGAATTCGGGCCTGGAAGAGTGTAAAGCTCATGTCGAGGACAAAACAAAACGAAATTTGGTTGTGGTAACATTCCATACCCATCTGTGATATTAATTAATCATTTTATTCATTCATTTTTTTCAATTACAAACAAAAATCAAAAGCAAGCGAATGTAAATTTCAATAATTTAAATACGAAAGTCATTCCTGAAACATTTCTTTCTATTATTTATTAAACTACAAATGAATAAAATATGTCTTCTTGGAACTTTTATGTTCTATATCATGTAGTTGTTGTTTGTATTCCTTTTTCTTCTCTTGCTTGCTTGTTGTTGCTGTTATTTCTTCTTCTTGAGGAGGCGCGATTGCTCAATGGTGGAGCAGTGGTCTCGTAACCGGAAGGTACCGAGGTCGAAACCAAGTCGATACGTTCTTGCCCTTAGGATGAGGCACTACTCATCATCACCAAGTCCTCCAGAGAGGACTTAAAGCCGTCGGTCCCCTACTTGCTTAATCCCAAGTATATACATGCTTTCTTAGCAGTCTGGTTAAACATCATCAAACATCAATTGTATGTTAACACCATCATCATCGTGATCATCATAAACATCGTTTACTTCTTCTTCTTCTTCTTTTGCTTGCCTTTTGTTGTTGATATTTCTTCTTCTGCTTCTTCATCATCGTCTCGTCTTTGTTGCAGTTGTTCTTCTTGTCTTTTTAATCTTCTTCGTCTTATTCGTCTTCTTCTTCCCTATCGTTGCTGTCAGTTGCTATTGCTACATGTATCATTGATTATTACGAAATATGTTATTTCTGCTCATTCCCCCTATTAGATATGGACTACGGAGCGATGGAAAATGAGTGTGGTTATTGTGTACTTGGTGGTACTGGCTTAGATATCACTGAAGGATTAAATACATGCGGTGGATGTGGAGAGGATACGTCATGTATAGGTTGTGATGGAGAACCTAATAGGTATGTTTATGTACAGTTAAACAACTGAAATATTCATATCTCTTCTAAATTTGATGTTTTTTATTTTTTCGTAACCCAATAATGAAATAGATTGGTTGAATTAGGACCTTTGTTGAATACTTGTACATGAAACGTACCAAGGACATGGCCGCTAGACCACCTCACATCTCCCTGTAGATATCACTACTCGATAAGGCCTAAACAAAATATACGTATTGCCCTTTATTAACTGCCAGCACCTGAGTCGGTGGGTCAATTCTTTTCTTTTTTCCTGTTTTGTTGTTGTTGTTGCTTTTTTCCCTCTTTGGTCTGTTATTTTTCAGTTTTGAATGCTTTAATATGTTTGTTTTTTTATTCATTAAACATTTTTTCTCAAAAAAACGGTAACAAAAAAAGTTTAATAAAAAGCCGACCGTAAATTTCAGGATTTTGGGGTCGACTGCAAAGGGCAATACAACACTTTTTTGTTAAGCCTAACACTAGTAGATAGCAATAGTATAGTTATAAATATTACTATACGATTTAGCTTTTGCATTTATTTTTTAATATCGGTCCAAAGATGATGCGAAGCAAGAATATATAAATGCCGACTGTAGTAAGAAGTTTCTTTGAAACTGATCCCATGGTTATGCTTATGTTTATGATCTTAGGATTTTTGTTCTCACAATCAAATATTTGCACCCATACACTCTTGCACCTCGTTTTCTAATACCTTACCAATACCCTAATATACCGAATATTTCAGTTATTAAGAATACCGCTGAAGGCTGAACACTATTTAACTTTTGCAATTAGCTTTTTCTAGAAGAGGGACTTTGTTTGACAGTAATTTTGAATAAACAATTCTATTCTATTTCAATACCAGTGGTATAACCCTTGACAACTGTGATACCTGTGGCGGAAACCATACTGACTGTATGAAAATAGTTGGTGTCGACCCAAAAGCTATTCCTGAAAGCACGGACTACAAGGTACGACAAGATTTATTACATACCTCTCTTTAGAAAACTAGCCATCTGATTGGTCGAAATTGGAGACATGACTTTAGCCGTCATTATATCTATACTATTACATTCAGACACTTAGGCTAATGCAATTGTATGTTAGTTAGAAATCTCTTCTAAACTGGAGTGTCCAAACACGTTTTATATTCTTCTCGTAAGAAATACAGTCAATATGCAATCAATTTATGTAACATATATGGCGATTCCCCCAAAGCACGAGGCTTGCGATCGATTCCCCATAAAATGTTCAAACTTTATGTCACGATGACCTATTCACTCTATACAATTATACCTTGTTGATTCTCAATAAAGTCGAACCCAAAATAGTATGCGATGGATATCAATTACTGAAGGGCATTTATATTAAAGTCAACCATGATATTAAGTTGTTATGTTGAGAAGTTTAAGCAAATGAGAGGAACAGGTCAGTGAAACTTTGAGCAATTCCGATTAGACATTTTAAAAAGTTATGAATTTTTTAAGTTGGGATCAATCAAACACAAGTTGGCAACTCAACAGCAGCAACAAAAACAACAACGACAACAACAATGACCAAAACATACATAATTAAACTACACTACATTAATATATATATATATATTTTTTTTTTAAACAGCAGCAGCAGCAAACAAAACCTGACTTGACATGCCATTCGCGTATACGTACAATACGGTACTATGATTACAGTATTGATCCATCTAAAACCTCGGCTCATATTCATTAAACCAGTTTACTGAGCCTGGTTGTCAATTGACTACCTACATATCAAGTGCCCAGACATGTTGGTTATCAGGACAGTTGATTCCAAACAATAATTTCAAAAGAATACAAGCATTATTTCAAGATTTTTGTTGAAAGACTTATGTTATTACTTAACAATCAGCTTAAGATTTCATAAACACATTTCGTAAATACTATCTGCGCATGGGCAGATAAAGGTCATTTGTGATAAAAATTGTAAAACCCACCAAGATGAATACGTGCTCATGTTATGTAATCATAATTCATGTGGGCACTTACGGTACATTCTATGATACAAGAGGGCAAACAAAAGCTTTTCATGCAGCACATACATGACTTTGGCATTGATTATTCTGAAATACAAAAAGTGGGTAAAAGATATGTGGATATTTGGGGTCATCGACCCATGGTCTATTAACAAATGTCTCTCATCTGCGCAGGTCACGGTGCACGGAGCAGGATTTCATGAGGAACCTACACCCGTTTGTATATTCGTACGACTATCAGACTCTGCGGAGTTTGATAGCACTATGGAGGTCGTAAGTCCATCAATGGGATATTGCGTGGCTAACCTGGAGATTGGTAAATAATAGAATAATAATAATAATATTTTGCTTTTAATACATAGCGCTTAATACAATGTCTCTAAGCGCTTTACAAATATATTTTTTACCCCGGTCATTGGATTCAGTGCTTGCCCGCAGACACTGTGTGCACAATCTCCACTCCCTGTGGAGCATTCAAGTCAGGTACCCATTTAACACATGGGTGGAGACTAGCAAGTGAATGATGATGATGGTATCTATGTAAATGATAACAACATCACAATCAACAATATTCATATTAATAATGACAATAACAATAGTGATAATCATACTTCATAATAATTCCTTGAATGCATTGAGCGCTACCTTGCCGGATCTGGAGCTAAAGCCGGGGTAATAATATCCAAAGTCCTTGAAAATGTATAGAGACGTTTTATCATAATTATGCGCTATACAAGCACGGTATATTATTACTAATTCTACAACTATTATTACTACTCCTACTACTACTTCTGCTTCTACTACTACTACTACTACTGCTACTTCTTCTGCTATTACTGCTACTGCTACTAATACTACTACTACTACTCCTCCTGCTACTACAATTACTACTCCTACTACTTCTTCTACTACTAATATTACTACGACTACTACCAATTGCTACTACTACTACTACTACTACTACTGCTACTAGTGACATCTGTATGCAAAGTAACTGATGTGCATTTGGTTTTAATCGTTGTTTACTTCAGGATTTAAGAATAATAGAGGATTTTTACATTTAAATAATTGTCTAATTTGGGATTGCTTTACGTGGTCAATGAAAGAATGCAGGGATACTGTTTAATAAGGAATAAGCGAGTTCGTAAATAGCTCTGGACCGCATGACCCCAAAATACCCATAGATCTCAGACACGATGGATACTTCCCACCTGTGCATTTTAGAATAATCACTGCCAAAGTGATGGAGGTGCTTCATGAATACCTTTAGTTTGCCTCTTGAGAAGAATACTTCCACCTGTGTATCAGATAAATGTACTGTTGGTGCATAAATGAATACTGATTACATAACTTTCATGAGCACGATCCGAGTATTCGTCTCAATGGTTTTCCAATTTGGGTCCGAATGACCTTCATCTGCCCATGCGCAAATCCTAATTACGAACTCGGTTATTCAGATTACTTCCGAGAAGGAGGAACCTTATGATGCATGAATTTGGGTAGAAAATCTACTATCGAATATGAAATGAATTACAACTTACTTTTTTACCTGTATATACTATGTATATATTAATACAATTGTTGTGATTTTATTTCTTTATTCAAGGGGAATATGACGTTCACGTGGTGTTCGATACTACACGAGTTGAAGCATCAATTATTCGCGTTTACACGCGTAAGTATGACATTACCAATCAACATTCAACGTAGAGGTGTCGTAGCTAGTGGACTGCCAATGGATTTATTGATATTTCATTTATAACGCGATGTAATCCACGTTTCAAACATTATTTTTAGTTATGTCGGGTAAGCCTTTATAATCTTGTTAGTTGTCAAGATAATTTTGGTTAAAAATATATGCATACAATTATTGAACAGGGCCCTATCTTACAAAGAGTTGCGATTGATCCAAATCAATCGCAAGTCCTCTGATCAATCGCAAGTATGCAGTTCCCTATCTCTCATGAACACAGTTGCGATTAATATAAATTGCAAATAAGTTGCAATTAATATAAACTATTTTTAAGACAGGGCCCAGGTCTATTATGAATCTATTCCCATATGTTTTCATTATGTCTTTACAGCTATCACAATCGACATATCCGAAGATGTTTTCATGCTCGACTCGACATCAACAGACGTACACCTCAGCTTCACAGCTAACGGCTCGGATTTTACTCAAGCCATTGCTATACAAATCATACCGTTTCTCCTTTTTCTTGACGGTAATAATAATAATAATAATAATAGCTCACATCGCAGTACATATTATTATCCCGGTCATCGGATTCAGGCTTAGCCGCAACACAGTGTATGTACATTTTCCATTCCCTGGGGAGCATTCCAGCAAGTCACCATTTTACAAGCGCCGCTTGCTAATCCAACCATATTAGCTTTCGCATAACTATCCGGTACCCATTTAATAACACCTGAGTGGAGAGTGGCAAATGTAGATCAATGTCTTGCCGCGGTGGGACTTGAACCACGGACCTTGTGATCCACAGTCCGATGACATATCCACTCGACCACGATATTATTGTTTAGAGAATTCATAGGTGGTACCTCAAATCAAAAATTCTTTCGAAAAATCAAGCAAAGGTAATTTCCTAAGCTTTGTCCATCACCTATCGAAAAGTGCGAACATGGCAATGACCTAATGCGTTATCCGAGCATGATTTCATCAGTGACAAATGACAATTTGTGTTATAAGCTACTGAAATCCTTGCTTGTGATTGGTTATCAGCAGATTTATCACTGATTTGTGGTATTTGTCATTTAAAAAAGGCTTTGTGAACCCCCCCCCCCCCCAGAAGTATGACAAAAATTGAAAACATATCTATTTACAACTTTGTATTAAAGATCTCAATTATGAACCCAGTGCTCTATATATTTTCACTCCCTCTGTATTCTGTTCTGTAAAGCGCACAGAAACATGCAATTATGCATTATGCAATCTTCAATGAATATATTTATGCATTTTCTAGCTTATAAAGAATGTTCCTAGTGATTTTGTGTTTTACACAAACCCATCTTGTAATAATATTGATAAATCAAATGAAATATGAATATTCGGAATATTAATATCATCATAAACAGTTTTCCTAATCCAAATCAATCCACTTTTGCAGATTATAAATACCAGCCTTTCATACCGGGATTTTTTTCGGCCATTGGCTCTTCTATGGGCTTTTCCATCCAAACGCCATCCGAGTCGCGTCAAGTCATAGTCTCCCCTGGATTCAATCTAATCGATCCACTACCAACCATGGATGGCGGACCTTTCGTGTTAACCTTCTATGATCCACCGCCTCAACTTGACATGGCTAATCTTTCTTTTAAATCAATAGGTAAGATTTGAAGATGAGCCTGGGGGGCGTTTCATGAAACAATTAGTCGGTGGTTTTCTCCGACTAATATCATTTTCACCGACAATTCTATTGTCACTGACTATTTTCCAGGCCTCTGATTGGTCAAATTTAGTCAGCGCTGACAGTTACCGGCGGACAAATGTTGATGAAACACTCCCCCGGTTTCGGCTATCGGTGTGGGGGAGGGGGCACTCGTTTTATTAGGGGAGGGCATGCATCATACCTTTTGATACTTTTAGAAAGATGTAAACGTGAGAAATCAAGGTGTTTATGATACTTGTGATAGATTTTTCCTAATTGTGAAAGTTTTATACAGAAATCCTGTTAAAATTCTGCTATATTCCACCAGAGGCATAATGTGGGGCAATGGCCACATGTGGGAGGGGCACAACTTTTATTTTCTCTCTCTCTTTGACTTAAGTTTTTTTTTTGAGGGTTTGCAAATCCCTGATAGGGCCTGATAACCTTCAATGACACCCTTTTATCTCCATAAAGCAGGATACGCGATCATAAAATTAAAGCTTGAACAGGAACGAGGAGAAAAACGCCCGGGACAAACGTCTAATAAAATCATTTGTATTATTTATTTGAAGGAAACGTTCTCGTTCTTGAGTTTCCTACTCCGGTCGCCATCATGGATGACGTCCTTCCTGATTGTGATGCAATCTTCGTAGCAACGGTGGAAGGTGGAATGGATGGGGGAGATGGAGAGGATTCACCTGCGAGTAGGAACCTGCTAGGGATAGGGAGCCAATGTACGTTGACCAGAAACCGTAAAATACTCGAGATAATGCTTGGACAAGGAGACAATCTCATCATGCCAGGTGAACATTTATAGAAAGTGGGCAATACGGAGGGAATCCTCGTGGTGGTGGTTATTTTACCTGACTGCTAAGAAAGTATAATTGCTTGTTAGTAAGCAACCAAACGGCCGACGGCTTTAGGTCCTCTCCGAGGGACCTGGCAATGAGGATTAATGCCTTACCAAAGGGCACTAGCGCATCGATTTGGTTTCAAACCCGGGTCACCGTATTACGAGACCACTGCTCTACCGCCTGAGCTATCGCGCCTCCGTAAACTTCAGGCTTTAAACGCAACAGAATAGTTTTGATCATGTTGATTAGACTAATTGTGTACAGTAGGGAGATAAAGGAGAAGAATCAATTTAAGCTTGTAAAGAAAAACTGAAATAAACAAAAGCTGATTAAACATTTCATTCAATATAAAAACAAACGTATATGTTAAAAGAATCATATCATGGTAGAAAGACGCCTTTTTATGAAATTAGCTCATAAGCTTAAACATTAAGTGCTTGAATGTCAAGGATGTTTAATTCATGCACGCTAGAAAAATATGAGTGTAATAGTATAGGAAAATTCAGAAATAACAACATGAAATGTCAGAAATTCATGATAATCTATTTATCTTTCGCTGATCCAGGTGAGAAAATCGCCGTCCGTAATGGCACCATTTATGGCGCCGGTAAGTACCCTAGCGCAGCGAAAGAGACCAACATTACGGTATTAGAGGGGGATTCCCCTCCAGTGGGTGTGGTCCTACGTGGAGCAACAACAGTGAGCAGCTGCGGGGATGTGAGTTTATCTGCACGGGAGAGCACCGGAGGTGCTAGCAGGAGCTTTACCTACCTCTGGATGGTTTACCCAACAGATAATACGAATCTTACCGATGCATTAAGCGGTAAGCATTCTTATTTTTTTTTAAATAAATGTATCATTTCAATTATTACAACATTTCTGCTCAGCCTATATCAAAATGATAACGTTTTTGACTTTTTGAAAGGGTCCTTTGGTTACTTTAGATAGGCTTGAGATTGTCTTAGCTTTGTGTCATATGGTCTCTTGAATTCCCCAATAATGTTTTTTGCCCCTTATGTACAGTACTTTTTCTTTGAAAATTGTATAATTTTGTCCATCTAATGTTTTGCTTCCGAATCTGTAAAAATATTGTCAAATACAACCCTTGTGATGCGATGTAATTATTTCTATGAAAGTATCATGAATATAGTATAATGCATGATAATATATACTTAAACCTTTCTTATTATACCCAGAAATAACAACATCTGACCTGAATATCGATGGCGGCCTGCTGGTTGAGGACGTGGTCTATAAATTCACTGCCTTCGCGACTAACTTCTTAGGAGGAACAGGTGTAGGCTCTATTGATGTAGTCCGTACACCAGAAATGGTACCTGGTCTTAGCATCGTCCCTACCATTGATCCAAAGAGGGTAATGGTGTCAGAAAGGTACAACCACTAAATACAGGAGTGTCGTGGTCGAGTGGTTTAAGGCGCTTGACTGGAGATACGAAGGTCGAGGGTTCGAATCCCGACACGGCACTAATATCCTTTGGCAAGATATTAACCTGCACTACTCTCCACCCAGGTGTTAAATGGGTACCCGTTGCGACCGTCGTTGTTGGTCAAACATTTTTTGAGCGTCAAGTAACGCCTGGCTGGAATGCTCCCCAGGGAGTGGAGATTGTGCACACAGTGTGTGCGGGCGAGCACTGAATCCAATGACCGGCATAATAGAATATTTGTTAAGCGCTTAGGCTTTATAAAACCTAAATATTATTATTATTAAAGACACATTGCAGTCTGGGTTCTCATAGAGAATTCGACACCATTTGGGTGTTTACCCGGTTACAGGTGTGTTGTCAATCACAAGGATAAGCCTTTAGTGTTGCCTTTTGTAATACTTGCATTTTCTTCCAATAGTTTCATATTGAAATACCATTATCTTACAATTCCCTCATCCGAAGACTCTCTGAGAGACTATAGCAGGTATTTCTTGGTGGGATCACAAGTTTGCTATTTGCGAATACTTGCTCCTTGTACACCCAATAATGTTATTTCCACCACGACTGATGTCAACAAATTATGACATACTGCACACGGAGTCTGACTACAACCTGCCTTTAAAGGACTAAACTCTGAAGTGCTTTTTTAGAACAAGAACTAGAAGAGTCGACTGCAGTGAAAAGGCTTTGTCGACCGTAGCACACTTTCACTGGAACAAATTACCATTGGAGTTAAGAATTATAACATCATGAAAGACATTCATTCGCGTATTATTTTTGTGTTATTGTTATCATTGTTTTTATTATTATCATTATTAACATAAATCATATGAGAAAAGCTTTATCTGGAAATACATATTTTAATTATTTTAAGTTTGAAGATAATGGTCATTTTAGGAATTTAATACAAAATTTTATGGCTGTTTTTCTCAAGATGATAATAATAGCTCGTTCTTATATAGCGCTGTTCGGGACCGCAGGCCCTCTCAAAGCGCTTTACAAATATATAATATTACCCCGGTCATCGGATTCAGGCTAACCCGCACACAATGTATGCACATTCTCCACTCACTGGGGAGCATTCCGTTCAGGCGTCATTTTTACAAGCGCACACTTGCTAATCTAAGCATATTAGCTTTCGCATTCTACCGGGTACCCATTTAACATCTGGTTGGAGAGCAACAAACGTAGATCAATGTCTTGCCAAAGGACATTCGTGCCGCGGCGGGACTTTAAGATAGCACAGGTGACGAGCTATTTATTTCACTTTTTTTAGGCTAGTATATAGCGCTTTTCAAATTATAAAATTGTCAACAGCCAAATTTACATTTTTTGGCTTAGAATAGATGGTAAACATTGACTCCATTGTCATGCTTGTATTCGTTTAAACAAATTATTATTCTATCAGGGATATTGCTGATATATAAATCGGCTTTTACCATCCATAATAACGTCTATATTATTTGTGTTTATTTTTTATTTTTTTGATGAAGTTGTTCTCAAACTCCCCCTTCAACAGCTTCTATCTTCATGCCGAAGTTACGTTTTATTCTGACTGTGAGGGCGCTGAACCTACGGGGACAGAGTATGTGTGGACAGTGGACAATGGTGACGTCACTTTAGATGGAACCACACAGAATTCCAGGTCTCTCTATGTAACGGCTTTCTCACTCCCAGGTGAGAGTTATTTATGAATAAATATATATGTATAGAGAGAGAGAGAGAGAGAGAGAGGGAGAGAGAGAGAGAGATTAAAACACAGAATAATGATGACGTGACTTTAGTTGGAACCACACAGAATACACCAGTTTACGGTTACATCAGTGCGCATGCGCAGACATGGGCGCCATTTTAATTGGCGAGTAAACATAGCCAATGACCTAGAGGTCATTTGGTTTGTGCGTAAATTAAGATTGCGCCCATGCAAATTATGATGTGAGCGCACAGCGCAGCGCGCAGGCAGTGATGTTATCATAATTTGCATGGGCGCAATCTTAATTACGCACAAACCACTGACCTCTAGAGGTCATTGGATTTGTTTACTCGTCAATTAAAATGGCGCACACAACCGTAAACTGGTGTATTCCAGGTCTCTGTGTGGTACGAAAAAATAAGACGATACCGGCTTTCTCACTCCCAGGTGAGTTATTTATGAATAAATATATATGAATAGAGAGAGAGAGAGAGAGAGTGTGTAAGAGAGAGAGAAAGAGAGAGGGGGAGAGAGAGAGAGAGAGATTAAAACACAGGATAATAATGACGTGACTTTAGAAGGAACCACACAGAATTCCAGGTCTCTCTATGTACCAGCTTTCTCACTCCCAGGTGAGAGTTATTTATGAATAAATAAATAAATATATATTATATATATATATATATATATATGTGTGTGTGTGTAAAGAGAGAGAGAGAGAGAGAGAGAGAAACAGAGATATCAAGTACGAACTAAAGAGAGAGAGAGAGAGAGAGAGAGAGATAAAAACACAGATATCAAGTACGAAGTAAAGAGAGAGAGAGAGAGAGAGAGATAATAACCCAGATATAACACCTAAGTACGAAGTAAAAAAAAGAGAGAGAGAGAGAGAGAGAGAGAGAGCATGAAATTAATATTGATGAAGCGAAACTTGGATAATATTTAAGATTTCTATACAGTAATCTCATGAAATATAAATGAATGATGTAAACAGTCGTAACCTCTTTTACTAATTTTTTTTTATTAATTGCTATTAATGCTAAACAAAACAATGTACCATTTGTAATGATTATCATTTGATGAAAAGTCATGAAAGTTCAACTTCTGTGCCAAGTTGTAATAACTTACTTGGCCATGGATTTTTACTGCTCTAGCATGGAATAATATTTGATGCAATCAGAATCTTAACTTTTCATATTTTACATTTTATTCATTTCATATTACGTGCTCAAACACGATTCACTGTTGGACTTTTTTTTTTACAAAACCGCTTATCACCCATCCCCTCCCCCTTTTAGCTTCACCGTTCTGAATTGAAGTTTTATTTTTGTTTTGTAGCATTCTTTATTGCATTCAATCAGTACAAAATATCAAAAAACAGTCATCTTCATTGATTTACATAACATATCAAAATGTAAAGAAAATTGTACATCTCTCAAAAATACTAATTTAATACACAGTACATAACGTCTTCAAATTAATTATACTGAATGAATATTAAAGATCAAAGCCTTACGCACATACAGACAGACACACCACACACGCTCACATACTCAGACACACATACAAACTTACCTATCCCCTCCGCCTTCATTCCCAAAGCCCAACAAAACCCCCTCCCTTCCTGAGCACAGTCACATCTACATATTTGTTGGAAATCCTGTCTCTTCCTTTTCCTTATGACTAAATTATATAAATATGTTTGAGTCTGAGAAGGAATTATTTGACGTCACAAACTGATAACCTTATTGGCAATTTGTGTAGTGATTTTCATTATCCCAGAGTTTTACATACTTTCTCAAAATTTCTTATTAGTTATCTGATTTTGCTCAAATCTTTTTTGATTGGTGTGTCTGATTTTTCTGCTTCTTTTAAAAGTAAGATATTTTTAGAGTGGACTTGTACTTTAAAGTTGTCATACTCAAAGCGATATCATGATCTCCTCTATTTCAAATACAGCTGACACCTCTATCACTTTCACGGTCGCAATCCAAGGGGTAAATGGAAGCTCTGGACCTAACAGTGACGTCACAATCACCACGTATTCATCCAATCCCGTTGCAATGATCGTCGGTGGTCGTGAGAGGGATATCGGTATCGGAAGTGGGATGGTAGAGCTAGATGGGTCAGCATCACGTGACCCTGATCAACCTGGGACGGATCATTTAGAGTTCACATGGAGATGTGTACAGGTATCACCACATTCTAGCTTGAACCCTAAAGTTAATATTTGTTTCCAACCTAAAATGATCCAATGTCCCTGTTATTGCTCATTATGCCAGAGAGGCCAAATCGCGTCACACCATTGACGAAATCTGTAACTGATCTGCTGAAAATTTCGGAAGAATTTCGTATTGAGATGAAATACTTTGAATTCAGACAAATTTGTCACCAATACATAATCAAATTGATACCCAGAAGCCCTTCTCTAGAACTGCTATTGGTTACCATTTAAAAATATGAGGGAATTCAACGAGCAAGTAATATTTTCAGGCGACTTTTCTGCTGTGATAATTTTCAAAACTGATATAAAAATTACGATACAACTCATAATTTTTTTCTCTCACTATTACTAGAAGTTATTCTTCTCTTGTATCACAGATTCCTGAGAACATCCTCTGTGTATCGGAGGAGGATGGGTCTTTCTTCCCTGCTCCGGAGCAGCTAGAATCTGCTTCTGTGTCTTTCAACGCTTCTCATATGGCCCCTAACCAGACCTACGAATTCACTCTCAGGGTTGCAACGGCATACAAGGAGAGTCAGGAGACAAGTGTCGTCGTCTGGGCTACGTCAGGCAATGCTCCGCAGGTAATGCTACGGTCACAAATGTTCGTACGAACGATAATTTCGTACGAACTCCCTGTTTTTCCATTGTCTTCCCGAATTGCCATTGTCTCAAAATCGTTCGTACGGCGTTCGTAGCAGTTCGTAATGGCATTTGTGACCGAGGCTTTATATGATCACCTGACAATTATTTCGAATTCATTCAGATGTCGTGCCGTTGTCTGCCCGTGAGAAGGTCTTTAGTGCCATTGAGAATACATAACATGGCTCTTGCCAGTCTAACGAACTTCTTGCGGGCAGCCAACGAATGAGCAAGATTGGGAAATTTCCTTTACAAATTACAGCATTTTGGATAGGAATTTAGTTATTTAATATCACATGAACTATATATATGTTCAATATTGCTCCATTCGGGCTTCTCATTAGGAAATTTAAAAACAAAGTGAAACCAGTTTATTTTAAATTTTGCTTGTATGCCAATTCTTGTCATCACCGGTTTGCGAGGTCGCAATGACAAACTTGAGATAGTGTCACTAATCAATATGATTTGAGGAATACAGAGTGAGTCAGAAAAAATGTCCCACTTTTTAAAAATTGTATTGTATGAAGTATGAATATTTAATCGTGGGTTTCATGATAGGTCTTGATAGAGTTATCCTCACAGTACATTTAGGTACCATTTTTATTTGAATCTATGCATGCATGACTGAACATCAGACATTCGATTATTTATTTTTTCATTGCAATATATCCTTGCCTTATCGAAAAGTGAGTTGATGTATTTTTGTTTACATTGTAGAAAGTTAGTCGGAGTGGGGAAACTACACTCCTTGCCACTCCTTCAAAGATGCTTTGTGTTTCCCTCGTTAACATTAATCATCATTGACTTAATACCTGCAGTATCATTGAGAAGGGGCGTTGGCTCAGTGGTAGAGGTCACGGGTTCGAAACTAAGTCAATTCGTTCGTGTTCTTTGTTAAGGCATTAATCCACATTACCAACTCCCTCGGAGAAGACTTAAAGCGGGACTGCACTACTTGTAGCTACTTGCGCCCTCAATGCCTAAACGGTACTCGTTGGTCCCCCATGGTCCCCTTTTTCTTATGTCAATTGAAAACTGATTTGATGAGATGACCACCTGCCAGTGACCACGCAGGGAGATCTAATCCCTCCTGGCCAAACGAGTGCAAATAGGCTTCAAGGCATCAGTCCCCTGTTTGTTTACTTACGAACATATATTACATGTTTTCCTAGCAGTCAGGTAGAAAACAATTATCATCAAACTTCATTAAAGAGAAGGTTGAGTTCTGGGATGAGAGGTGAAAAATAATTTTTGAGCGTTATCATTGTATTATGCAAGTGTAGAAGAACATCAGATGAAAAGATGTTTCCTGAAAAGCATGGCCCCCTCAAATGCCTTAATATATATTCTAAATATGGCATGTGACATCATAAAAATCGAGACGGATTTTTACGCCACATGTTCGTGTAGTCCCACATACATCTTTCCGTGTACAGTGCTTGTAAGTTTTCCAAGACCGGGCCAAATTTCTCATCATTTTGATGATTCCAGAACCTTGCAGTACACACCAATACTCATATGCTAGATGAACAACTTTTCGGATCGATTCCACCACGTTTTTTCACAATGCAATCGTATGGCCAGAACTCAACTTTATCTTTAAGTAGCTTATCATTTCTCTTTTACCCTAGGTTCTCGTGTCCATACCCGATTCAGGTCCAGTCGTTTCGACAGAGCCTCTTGCTTTGACGGCTCATGTTCATCACGCTACCCCGGTTGCTATCACATGGAGTATTATTGGTGAAGTCGTCGGTATGTTTATCCATTGTTTGCCATTATAAAAAAGGGTTCAGGGATGTAGCCATTGAGTTGCGTCGAAATGGATCACGCATTCGTGCAATGCATCTTACCATATGCACGGGGGTCCATTTTGGTGCTAACAACCGTCAATTTCTCGACGTTATACTCATATTGTAGACCCATCATATAGAACAAATAATACATGTTTTTAGCTTGTGTATTAGTGATATGCACTACACTTGGTAGAGTCACAATGAGGCGGACAATGAACTCGACAATTCTCGTTCATTACCCTATTGTGACTATGAACCTGCTTGCAGTGAATATTCACTAATACACTAGCAAACATGTATCATTTGTATAGAAACATATAGACGAAATACATCTTTAAACACAATCGCATAGGCTTTCGAAAAATCAACTTAATGGCACTGTACCCTATGTAATTAAACTTTTTTAAATGCCGAAATTGCTCTTGAATTGATTCGTTAATTCTTTTGTTTTTATTTCATCTTTAATACGAGTATCAACCTTTCACACATGCATAAAGTCTCATTTCTATGTTATATTCTGCCAAATTACCTTTGAAAATAACATCCTAGCTGTTAATACCTTAATCACAATTAATTGAATAACCCGGATACAATTTTCGTCAATGTTTCTTGACCCGATAGCTATGGAGGATATGGACTTCACAGGCAGTGCGAGCAACACAGAGCTTGAAGGGTCGACATGGTCAATCGTACATATCGAAAAAGGTATCTAGCTTATCGTGTCTTTGGAATAATTTATTATTTAATTTAAGAATCCTTACTTCCTTAGAGACCTTTAAATCCAAGCTGAAATCTTATCTCTTTTTAACACTATCTGTACTTAGCACTATGACACTCATCCGAGCTTTCTCGTCCAAACTTGCTAATTCTTCCTATTTTTCTTGTGCGCCTCGGAATAGCATCGCCAGGATAGACGGCGCTATACACATGCCTGTTATTATTATTATCTTTTAGATGAGGTTTATATATGTAATCATATATGTAATCATATATTTTTATATATAATCATTGCAAATTTACAGACATCGCACTTTGTCCTAAATATACAACTTTCCTGCCACCTTCAAGCAGGCCCGTAGCCAGAGGTTGATGTTTTTTTTTTTTTTTTTTTTTTTTTTTTGGGGGGGGGGGCACATACATGTAATTGATCAACGTCCTGGGAGGGGTCTAAAAAGATCAACCGATCTTGGATTTTTTTTTTTTTTTTTTTTTTTGGGGGGGGGGCACGTGCCCTCGTGCCCCCCTACCCCCCCCCCCCCATGGCTACGTGTCTGTCAAGAGATTTCCCCAGTATTATGAAGGTGGTTCACCTTTTGCAGCAGTGTGTGCATTTTCTTCCCCAAATCTGTGACTTTGTAAACGCCAGATAATGATACTTTTAGCACCCTTAATATTCGATAACATTATCAGTATGAGCATCATTATTAGGTTCATATAGAATGACTGACATTGATTACAGCGTATACTGAAAGGGTTTGTGGGTTTAAAGAAGCCTTTTTTTTTCTTCTTCTCAAGAAAGCACAATTGATGATCAAAATGTACCAGACTGTGCAATTTAATTGCAAAAGGAAATACATCGATATTTAGCAGTAACAAATGGGAAGATGGCGTTTTTTGTAAAAACAGATCTTATCTCTCTCTCAAAGCGAATTGTTTTCAAACTGACATAGGAAAAACGATTATTAAGCAAATGCTATTGATGTATAGTCTCGTAAATGTGATGTTTTCGTTTTAAAATTCTTTTTCCTTAATGATTTCACTTATTAACAGGTGTTCTACGACCAAACGAAAAATATGTTGTCCTTGTGATGGCTACTGATGAACAGGGTCAGACCGGTTCAAGTCAGATGGAACTAGTTATGGCTAGTGGCGTTTCGTCGTGTCAACTAAATCTTGAAAGTGGAAATACTTATACCGAACTTGACGAGGTAATCATATCCTATATTTTTCTACGGAACGTTTCCGTTAAAAAGATAAACTGGTAGAACGATGAAAAAGATTGTGGTTGAAGGTATCTTAAATTAAGCCATTGCCTCCTGGAACCGGGTGGTCCCTCTATGAAGCTTATGGGAATGAGAGACTCCAGTCGTCTGTGGGTTAAGTTTGCATTTGGTGAACGATGCAGTAGAAGCCGCATACATTCTGCTTCGTACATAATTAGTTTGGTACCGGGTCTTGTTTGCCAAATCTGGTTCACTTATTAAGAATCTCAGTTGACAACTGTTAATACTACTTTCTGAGATGTAGGGAGGTACGAAATGTCTACCCTTCCTGGTATGGACTAGCTATTGAAAGGCCATTTCTCGGAGAAAAAAAAGAAGATAAAAAGAAGAAATGATCCAAGAGGGATGTTATTGCAAATTCCCCAAAAAATATAATTTTTTGAATTAAAAAATACGCAAAAAGTAAAACAATACATGAATATAACAACACATCTTTTCCATTTGTTTTTACTAGATTACCTTTACAATTGACCATTGCGTGACCGAGGAGGACGCCTATCCACTGACCTATCAGCTACTAAGTTCTTTTAGTGGCAGCAATAAAAGGTCAATGACCCCTGCTGGCGTACGACCCCTAATAAATATCGTCGGACCCCCAGCGAGGGAAGGCATGGGAAACAGATCATTCTTTGCCCACGTAAGAATATTTTTTATATTTAATTAATCTATCTTTATTGATTAATTTATCTTTATTAATGTTCTTTTTTTTTTAACTACACCCATTCTCTTGCTTTTATAAATAATTTACGTATCTGATTAAAAAAAGAAAAATCTCTGATAACCCATCCATAACCTCACATAAGTTGTCCACCCTTTCTTCCTCATCTGTACATCTCTCTCTCTCTCTTTCTCTCTCTCTCTCTCTCTATCTCTCTCTTTAGAACCCTTGCAACATTGGAGTGTGCTTTTCAAGAGTTCACGTATCTTTCAATGGTGTACATTGTTTAATAAATATGATGAATCATTCTGCGATGTGATGGATAGCTTTAGTTGTTTATAGTTTTTTGAAATTTTTAAGATCTAAAATTTAATGAATAGCATAGTACTTTTAAACAGCATATTGCATTATGTCATAATGGACTTTCTGTAACAATGTTTTCTATCGCCTATCACATGTTTCTATAATCTCTCGATGCGCTTCAAGAGGAGTTGTTCATATTGTTCCTCGAGCCTCAGCCTTGACAACTGTACCGCTCAGTGCATCTGGTGAATAAATCCACCCAGTCACACTTGCTACACCAGGAGGTGTTTCACAAAGATTCGAACTCGAAGTTAACTCTAAGTTGGACTTAAATACCATGGAGAGCCATTTGTAGCCTTATTTAGAAATATATTCAAAATAAAAAATTGAAGTAATTTAGACTTTTCATAAATTTCACATCAAGAACATGAAATCTCCCATGATAATAGAAGATATGAATGATTTGAATCAACGTTTTATGCCTTTTAAAATAACTTTTACAAAATATTTTCAAGGATGCTAACGGCTTTCCAAAAATGTTAAGTCCAACTTACAGATAAGTTCAACTTAGGATCTTTGTGAAACACCCCCCCCCCCCTGGGTCGAGAGTTCCCATTGTAGATAATTGTCTTTCCAAAGGACATTACTGCAGCGCCAGCCGCCAGGGCTCCAAACCTTGTCCCTGCTGTTCCACTGACAGGATACTTTAATATACAGTTATCCAGAAGACCACAAATTATACCTCTATCCCAAAGTCATCGTTTAACAATGTTAAAAATGAGATGCATTGCCCTACGTGTTATCAGTGTCTGTGATATGGTGTAATATTGAAGCCCTAAAACAAATCGCGCTTCAAAATAATCATGAAGTGCCTCAAAAAAGTAAAACAACAAAATATTTGAGTGACCGGTTTTACCATACTCATTTTTCCCAATTGACTGTTGTGATATAAAACCGTTAGGAAAACGAAAAATAAAATTCCGATTTCCAATCAAAAATATCTTGATAATCAGACAGGCGATCAGCTTGAAAATATACTTTCAAGCTTTCAATTATGCATTTTTATTTGTGTGTATTAAGTTGTCACTCTTTATGTAAATCAATTATATTATATACTATTATTGTTATTTGAATGTTTTATATTTGATTTATCAATAAATGCAGAAACATCTGCAAAAAAAAAATCCAGGATTTTGTTTCAGAATCCGAGACAAAGTTACCGGATCCCTTTAAAGTCCCCAGCCATATCCAAATCAGTGATATTGTCCTATGGTATCTGATTACAGGTGTGTAATGCACATGGTAGCTGTTCATACTTCAGTCTTGTGGCATCGATAGAAATGAGGTCATCTCTAGACTCAGAAGCTTTGGAAGTTGTCATCGTTTCTCAAGAAGCTCTGAAAGGTAAAGCCAACCAAGACCTGTTAGCCTTATTTGATTAACCTGTTGACCTATGCATTCAACTATATTGATGATTCTTTTAAGAATATTTGAAGACTGAATATCACGCATAATCACCTGTTACGTAGTATAACATCCATATCGATGAAGTCCATGCAACCCACTAATTATTATATTATTCGTTGCTACGTTGGTTAAGCCTTTAAAAAGGTTTAAGGCATTCGAGAACGATTTTCTTCCGTAAAAGTGCAGTCGTAACTAATATGTTAGATGATATGTTGGTTAATTTCCACATCCCTTTCACAAAGCCAATAAACAACAATAGACAACACAGGGGTATTTTTGTTTAGTTCATACTATTTGAATCATAATTGGACTTTTTACATATTTTGGATTTATTAACCTCCAAATATACATGATATACATTTACATTTGGGATTATCATACCTAGATTTAATGTTGGGAAAACAAAGTCGTGTTTGGAGTAATGAACTCCCCTCGTATAAGTATAACCATCGGAATTATGACATTTCGGAAACCTTCAGAAAAAGTTACCATCGGCTTCCTAAGAATTTTCTTTACGTATTGTTTAAGGTGACTACCTAAAGGCGTTCCTCGGTCTAATCGCACTAAGTAAAGTCGAAGAAAGACTAGCCGCAGTCAGACGACGACGAGCAACCGTGACTAGCGATCGTGCAACGGAGCAACTGAGGCTTCTCTATAGCGCTATAACTACATCAGTACTCGACAGGCCGACAGCGAGTACTCTGATAGATGCCTGTCCAGGGATCGCCATCGATGACTTATCACCAGAGGACATAGGTGATAAGCATGACAAGAATTATCTTAGTATATTTGGTAGATTTAAAAAAAAAGTGATACAGATATGGGAGAGAGAGAGAGAGAGAGGAGAGAAATGGGGATCGAGTGAGTGAGTGCGTGTGTGTGTGTAGCGTGTGTGTAAGCAAGAGAGAGAGAGAGGGGGGAGAGAAAGAGAGAGATATTACGGATATCCCTTTGAAATAGCTTTACTGGTATATATCACCGCACAATTGTTTTTTGTTGTTGTTAGAGACAACGTTACCCGCAGTTAATAGTAAATAAATGCTTGCCAAAGCTTTTTAACAAATCTTGAAATGAAATATATATGTAATATATATGTAATATGTACGGTCTGCCTGATACACTGATTTGTAGACTGCAGCGAATACAAAATTCTGCTGCTAGGCTCATTACTAGAACACATTCACGAGAATCAGTTTCCCTCATACTTCGTAATTTACATTGGCTTCCAGTTAAAGATAGATTAATATTTAAACTTCTTGTAATAGCATTCAAATGTCAGCATAAATTGGCTCCTCTCTACTTACAACAGCTTTTCAATGAGTATCATCCAATTAGGCAGCTTCGTTCTAGTTCAAGACAGTTGTTTGTCCCCCTTATGGTATCTACAATATCATATGGGCATAGAGCACTTCAATATGCAGTCCCTCAACTATGGAACAAACTTCCTATTAATATCAAAGAATGTTCTTCTCTTGATATATTCAAGCCTCTGTTAAAGTCTTACCTTTTTCAAACGTAATTTTGTACCATTCTTTATACAATACAATGTATTATACATGTACATGTAGTTTCAGTTTGGATATTCATCATGCTATTATGTTCTTATCATTTCATTTCTTCTGTACTCACTTCTTGATTTTTTTCTATTTCCACAGCGCTTAGAGACTTAATTGTAATTTGCTCTATATAAAAACTGAGTATTATTATATCAAACACAGGAAGTATGATGAAGACATAATATCTGAGTTGACACTCACTCATTCCGACTTGACTTAAACGGGACTGCACTAATTGTAGTCTATTGCGCCCTCCATTATGCCTAAGCGGTAACCGTTGATCCCCCATGATCCCCTTTTCTTATGTTAATTGAGAGCTGATTTGATGATATAACTACCTGTCAGTGACCATGCAGGGAGGACTAATCCCTCCTGGCCAAACTAGTGCAGACAGGATTTAAGCCCAATCGATCTTTCACTAATTTTTTTGAAATAATCATTTATGGTTTTCATCGTTTCTACCTCTCTCATTTACCATTTCCAGATAATTTCCTTGACAAGCTGCACGCTCTTGTTTCTGTGTTTGGGTGCGATCAAGAGATTCCTGCTAACAGCGCCTCGGTCGTTCTGTCGATCATCGAACAAATTCAGGCTATGACTGATGATGAAGACACTATGAAGATGTGCAGGTGAGGAGCTCTGAAAAATCATGGATTTGTCTCTTCGATATGAACTCATAGCCTGCCATGAGGCTGCATGCACGCTATCGTTATAGTGTTTTGTACATCCGACCAAACCATTGCTATGGTGCCATGTGCGTGCGTGCCCACTTTCGTAGTAGCAGTTATTGTTCATTCTCATTGTAGTATGCTGTGTGTTTTGCACGCGCTATTCATAGAACCCTCGCGTTAATCAGATTATCTCAATATAAACCTGGCACAATGGGATTAGCCCTGTGGCATGATAAGAGTTAATCATGATAATAAGCCCCTCTTTATCAGACAACTACTTTGAACTAATAATGATATTATTGAAGATATCACTCACAATCAGTCAATAGTAAACTGGGAACAAGTGACAACCAATCAAAAACTAGCAATCATAATCATTATGCTGAACCAATAGCAATAGCAATAGTGTGCGCCTGTAAAATGGCAACTGGCTGGAATGCTCCCCAGGGAGTGGAAAATGTGCACACATTGTGTGCGGGTAAGCCTGAATCCGATGACCGGGGTAATATTATATCTGTAAAGCGCTTAGGCACATCGTTGGATCGGTGTATTGAGCGCTATATAAAAAAAACGGATTATTATTATTATTATTATTATTAAAAAAGAACAACAGAAAAAAACACACCAACCGACAAACAAGTGAATGGACGCACAAAGAAATGCAAACAAACACATTTTTCTTTATTTTAATAATATTCATAAAAACATATTGACATTTTATATGCAAGCATTTGTTTGATATCTTCTGTGATCAAATGTCTACTGCATTTATATAATTTAAATTGTGCGGCAAATTTGAAGATCTTAACGTTAGTTTTATTTTAATATTTTCCATGCTTATGAAAGTATGAAAGATTGGCCATAAACAGCTGGCCCCTGCCTTATATAGAGCTCTTATTGGTTGGAATGTATCGCAGGTTCTCAAATCAATCCCACATTTACAAACTAACATCTCTTTTATACAGAGTTATTATGTCCCAGTCAATTTCAATCAATAACAAATGGTTATTACAAGACGGTGCACTGGTGTGCGATCACAAACGTGAGCCATGTGATTCCTGAAAGTCTTGATGCGCTAAACTACCAGACTAGAGGCTGTGTAAGGTATTAAACGGGTGACGTGTAGTGACTAGAGAGGAACTCTGCCCAACACTACAATCAAAATTCCAAGATGAAGTATGAAATGTATTGTTGTTTAACATTAATGTTGCCTTGATTCTTTCCAGAGAGTTGACAATGAGTTTGACCAAGGCTAACTCTGCTGGCCTTATCCTTGGGGACTCTCCTGTGGAGACGTCATCGGATGCATTGACGTCAACTCTCTTCTATGATATCCCACAAGGATCATTCAATACACTGTCTGGAGAGGGCGCTTTCCAGGTTGACCTTGGAAGTGACATTGCTGAAATGTAAGAAATTACTTTTACAAGTGCCATTTATACATCTTGCACTCCAATAACGATCGCAAAAACTTTCGAAAATCAACTTAAGGCAATTTCAATAGACTAGTCCATCACCATCGTGTGAATATTACATTGACATTATTACGTAATCTGAATATAGGGGATTGAAATTTCCCTTGATTTGATTTCTCGAAAGTATTTGCAATCTTGTTTCTGTCATGATGTTTGTTGCTGATGGCTTCAACATGTATTGTTGGTTCTGACTTTAAAACCTTAAAGTATCTAGTTAGCTGGTAGGGCGACCATTCATTCTTAATTAACTTACGATGGCAGCTCGACTAATAAATAGATGTGGCATTTTTGGTATTGCAGTGTAAAGAAACACCCCTGGTCACTAAAAGCCCCACTGTCACTATGAATATGACGGACAAAGAAAGCGGACAAAATATAGAGTTCCTCAGGTAGACAAAGGAACATCCCTTCACTGCTATTATGTAGAACAGGTGTCACATGCATATTCACCTGTTTTACTCACTTGTACATAATAGCAGTGAAGGGATGTTCCTTTGTGTACCTGAGGAACTGTATATTTTGTCCTCTTAGTTTGTCCGTCATATTCATATTGTGTACTACTTATAGCTAGCTTCTTGCGCCCTCTATATAGCAAACAATGTCTAATCGTTGCATGTTGGTCCCCCATGGTTCCCTTTTTCTTATGTTAATTGAGACCTGATTTGATGAGATAAACCACTTGTCAGTGACCTTGCAGGGACGTCTACCCCCCCCCCCCCGGCCAAACTAATGCAGACGGGCTTTAGATAATGATACATTGTGGTTTTTGTTTTCCATAGGTATGGCGGCTACTGGAAATGTGGTAGAGGACGGTGCATTGGGATAAATATTCAATTCGACCAGTACTCTGACAATACTGATCCATACTCAACCGAAGACGAAGATCGTGATAACCGGGCATCCGCCATATTGAATATCGCCCTCTACGACCCTTCCAGCTGTAAGTTAGGCATTTTGAGAATTACCAACAACAATTATAAAGATATATCCCGAAAAAGTGGTTGAGAATAACATTTCCACTTTAGTGGTTTCTTGTTCAATTCTCTATTCTGATTGTTTCAATGTCATTGATTTTGTTTTCTTTTTGAGTGGTAGGCCAATATATTGGAAATAAATCTTTGGTAAGGTTATGCATGCATTTTAAGGTAGTCATTTTCTACCAAGCAAGTCCGTTGTTTTAATATAAACATTAATTTTAGTACAAATGAAAATGAAAAAAATGAAGAAATTATAAGTTTATAACAAATTGTCTAAATTGTCGGAAATTCTTTCCCGAATGGTTATATCACACATATATTTTTTAAAAAATGACAGGATACCCATATATGGGTGGCAATATCAATGATCAGAAGAAGATACATACACAAAAAAGCTATAAAAAAGTCAATGTTACCGAGTTGATGAATTACAAAATATAATTTCGTGAGATTTCATTAATATAATTTAACAGCAGAAGTCATACTTAAGGTTCCAGTCATGAGCACTTTACTTCATATCCTCTACCAGAATACTACTTATTCGTCTTTATTGTAACGATTTTAAATAGCTGGCCCTGTTTCCAGCCGATCAGCACATGATCCGTATAAAACCCATGAATATTAAAAGTATATCTATATTTTGCTTTTGTAAATCTTAACTTATTTTTTGTGAAATTGAAGTAAATTTCCAATGTATCACTGTATTTTAATGATCTTTTTAATCTGTTAAAATCACGTAACTATTCACTTTTATAATCTATTGCAACTATTTTAAAAGCCGGTCTGGTTACAAACAAACACGACCCGTTAAAAACCAATGAAAATCGGAGAGGAAATATTATTGCATGTACATATTTGTATACATCTTTATATTTTATATTTTTACTATGAACTTGAACGAATTTTGAATTTATATCATGTAATGTTTGAGTTCACGTGTATTTATTGCATTGTAATGTTTTTATCAATTTGTAAAAAGTCACACAATTCAGCCTTCGGGCTTCGAGATGATTTTCAATAAAAAAACATTTATAATTACAATTCCTTGTTGCATCTTCTTTCAGGTGAAGAACTGATGGTGTCATCTCTGAGCGACCCAATCCGTATAAACATGACAGTGAGCGCAATGAAGAGGAATCATAAATTCAAATGCCATATCTGGGATGAAGAGGATAAGGAATGGACTAGCGATGGAATAGAGACAAAGGAGATAGATAACCAGATGGTAGAGTGTAAGGTTCAACGCACTGGTACGTGTGTCATCCTAGCTACGGAGAGGGGAGGTAAGTAGTTAAAGATAAACTTGAGTTCTGGTTTAAAAAAAAAAAGAATTCTCACAGAATCAAACGAAACTTATGTTCAAGATTACAAATAAATGTCATGTGCCTAACTATTTTGGAAGAAAATGTATACTGGCTGAGTAATGAGCCTAGAAAGATAAGAAAATCAAGGTAGGTAGCCCCGACACCATTTGTGTAGTCCCATATATATCTTCCTGTGTACAGTGCTTGTTACTTTACCAAGACTGCGCCAAATTTATGATGATTTTGATGACTCCAGAACCTTGCAGTGCACACCAATACGTCCATGCTACGTGATCAACTGTTTCTGATCCATTCCATACCTTTTCTTTCACAATGCAATCGCATTACCAGAACTCACCTTTATCTTTAATTTTGTTTAATTCAATTCAATACAAATTAGCATTTACTTTTGTTTTTCATATCCACCAAATACTTAAATCATAAATGTGTACCTTCGGCAACATTTCCAGAAAAATAACGCTAACAAAGACAATTGAAAATAAAATCTTAATTTGAAAACTGATAAAGACTCATTTGCGAGACGTTTTTAGAGCAAGCACTATACGAGCTCTGCTTCTAGTTAGTTCCTCTTTTCTCGTGCTTTTTTCTACTATATTTGTCGCTTCATCGCATATTTTTGTAATATAATTATTCATTGTATTATGTTTTCATGAGAAATAAAATCATTTGAATCGTTTGAATCATCATTATCATCATTATCATCGTCACCTGCATAATATGACATAGACAATTGTAGAGCGTATGAAGCGTTCGAACACAAGAAGGAAGGCTCAATCCTGAAAAAGGACAGGCTCGTGTCATTAATGAACAGTAAACTTTAAAATATAACGAAAGAGAAAGAAAGGGAAAGGGAATTTAGAGTTGAAAGCGTTCGTATTGATATCTATTTTGTATCACGTTAATGACAATGTGAATAAATGACCTATCACTATTTTGACTTGACTTTTTACGTTTGACGGGTTCGTTTTTCTGGATTTTGAACCATTGATTTGGAAGCCAATCAACAGATCACCCAATATATTGGTACTCTGTTTGTAGTAATTATTTTATCCGTTTCTCATCTGACAAGATCATGACCGTGTGTTTATGCAAAACATTTATCTACATTTGCCGCTCGATCTCCGCCCAGGTTAGTTTAAGTGGGTACCGGAATGAAGGAATCCGTCGAATGACGTGAGCCTTTGTAGCGAAGCAGAGACGTTGTGATATTGGAACGCCTCAAACTCCTTTCTTAGTGGATGTGCGCTTTAGAATTATCCAATATTATTACTATTACTATCATTATTATTAATCAAAGTTTGGAAAGAAGTGGACTATTATTATTTTTTCCTGATTCCAGGGGCAAACAAAACCGTGGTCATCATCGTGAGTATCATCGGAACCCTGCTCATTCTAACCCTCATCATCGTCATCGTCATCTTCATACTGAAGAAGAAACAGAAAGATAAGGGAGATGGGAATGTCGCCACCAACGACAGAAGCACGGCAGTGGCAACGGCTATGACGTCAGATGGGAAAGAGATGGACGGTTCCAAAGAGGCATCTACAGAGGTAAGTGAAATACCCGGATGTAACTTTTCCTAATGTATGATCACAAAATGTATAGGTAGCCCTGAAAGCAGTGACGATTTTTGGGGTCGGCTTTGAATTATGCAAGTTATTGACTTTTAGGACCCATTCATTAATTTATTTGTTTCTTTATTCATCTATTCTGTGATTCAATTTTTTAGGCAGGGTAACCTGTTTAACTATTAAACATTTACATGAAGTAATTGATATAAATGTAATTTCTTTATAACAAAAATATCCAGGCTCACAAGTGGTCCAGTAAACAAGTGTATTTGATATCTTTAGCGCAGTACTATTAATAATAATTATAGCTAGTTCTTATATAGCGCCTTTTCAGGACCGAAGGCCCTCTCAAATTGCTTTACAGATATATATATATATATATATATATCATGGACATGTAAGCAGCCATTTGACAAAGAGGGCTGGAATAAAGAATCTGATATTGGTCGTAGAAATGACCTGTATTTATTCATGCCAAAATTATATCTTCAAAGTAGTCTATTTACATCCCTAAGGCTAACGAATACAGTTTGCTGTATGTTTTATTTTGTTACATTTGATATGTCTGTATATGTCTCTTTCATTACAGTATGCTTATGACTTCAACATGCAGAACATGGCCCAAAAGGTGAACTGCTAGAGGGCGCACTTCATCAGATCCCGATATTAAATCTACATGTAAATCAATACCAGATAGTCTCATCTCCCCGGTTTGATCAAAATTGATTTGAATATTTACAGGGATTCAACTTCTGCGCGGGTCTACGTCACAACTGTTACAACTGAAATCATATCTGGTATTAAATCAATATGACAATTTATCCTTTTGATACCATTGGAGACCAGATGCTTGTTTTATTGTAAAATAAATCTGCATGAAGTGTGGGTTTTATTTATTTCGTATCTTTATCGTATGAAAATGCCATTTAGCTTTAATTTAGACACAATTATGTAGGAAATTGTAAATAATACATGATTACTTCTTATTATTACGCGGATGATTTGTAAATGGATTTTATATTCAGTGCATTTATACATATTGCCTGGGGTAAGGGGTCTGTACATAATAGTTGTTTCCATAATGCCTTAATTTAAAAAATTGAATCATGAATAGAAAAATAAAACAGTGCAATTATAATCTTATACTTATAAAGTTTGATCAATTACTTGAGATTCTTCCAGGAAATAGAAGTGTTTAATCCAGTATCTCACGTAAAAGTTCTCCACCATGTACTTTACTACCACTCATTAAAAACAATACGATGCAAAAGTGTACTGTTATGTCGGTCTGTACAACCAAAGTCCACAGTTACCATGGTTACTATTGTTCACATCTCTTTTTCCTCTCCGAGAAAAGTCTTCCCAAATCTTTAATTACCTCGCAGTTTTCTATTAAGATGCTGAAATCTTGCCAATATATTGCATGAAGGAAGTGTGAAGAGAGGATGTGGGTCAATACCATTAACATTTTAGGACATGCTGGGCTACAAAAGAAGAATTGAAATAAAACGAAAATATATATATATATTCATATTTTTAAAGGAATATATAGGCCTCAGATTGAACAAGCTGCGTCTTTCTCACCAAATGGAGTGATGTTTGTATTTTCAATCTTCCTTCCTTTTCTTACGATTTAAATAATGTATCATTAATCTTTTCTGTATATGATCTGGATCACCAACTCTCATTAAAAATGTTAAATTTAAATGAAATTCGCATCGTAGAGGTGGTGTAGTCGAGTGGTCTCAACAATTGATAGGAGATACGAAGGTATTTGGTTTGATACCCGACACGGCACTTGGGTCCTTTTACAAGGCATTTTTTTTTTACCTAAATGCTCCTCTTCACCCACGTTTTAAATCCGTAGGATAGGAAAGTCATTGACGTTTGTTTAGCATTGTGAGAGTCCGTTAAAAGACTCCTCAATGAGTGGAGAATGTGCATACATTGTATGCGGGCAAGCCTGAATCCCATGATCGGGTTAAAATATATCTGAAAAACTCTTAGAGAAATCTTAAATGCATTAGTAGGTATATTTTACTATAATTATATATACATCCAGAATATGTATTTTTTTCTTTCATCCTAAAATAGATAAGTGCTCAATTAAAAGGTTATAGTGGTTATATTTTTAGAACTTCATGCATAACACATAAAAATTTGGCTTTCGAAATTTTTTAATTTCTTTTCGTGAAGAAAAAAGTATATATATTTCAATGTATAAAGCTGAGGAAATTGAAAATTCATCGTATCGCTTATTGTTTTGACAAGTAAGAAATAGTGTGGCATAGAATAAGAAGTTGATGCAGCATTTTCTCAATCCTGCATCTGTTTGTTAACGGTATAATATTTTGATTATAGTTTTATCACCATGTGCATCTCATAGACAGATATCGTTACCAATATAAATTATGTGTAATATAGGCTTGCGGGTGCACCGTGTGTGAGAGAGGGAGGATTGAGGAGTCCTGAAAAGGACTCTCGGTAATCTTTCTTGAGGGTGTGTAGTCCTGAAAAGGACTGTTGATGTAGTCTTGAAAAAGACTGTTGGTTATCTTTCTTAGCTTATAGTTCTAAGGAGAACTATGGCGCTGGGAGAGAATGGGTGGCGGGAGTGGCTCGACGTTTACATGTAGTATAATTGGGAAATATTTTATAGTGATGCTCCACATAATTTAATTACGTTAAAGGGAAATCATTCCTTTAATAATAGCAAATTAATGTAATAGAAAGCGGAACAATCAGGTAAACATATTGGTGAAAGTTCAAACGAAATCGGACATAAGCTAAGAAGGTTATTAATGAACAACAAAAAGTGTATTTACTATATAGTCCATAGGTATGTCCATTTGAGTAGTGCCCGAAGGAACTGACGACAATCGAGAAAGTGGTCCATGGCTAAGTCAAAATCCACGGTCGTAATTGATTTAATGGACAGTGTATTCCTTCTTTGTGAATCCCAGATTATTTGAAATCCAGAAAGATATTTATACTTGAAATCCCCTAATTCGTTAATATGATTTAATGGCATATTAAAATAACTTATAGTCGATCGGGTGATAAACGACTGCTGTACATGTATGTTCGTATACTAAAACGATATCGCTCATTATTCACAATGGTATCAAACCTTTTACTAATATAAGCATTTTAATTTCATAAATATTTTTTAATATTCTATTTTACTTGGTATAAGTGTATACAGATCTTTGATATTTTTCTTGCCTACAGTAAATTTAACTTTTATAATAAGTGGGTGATGGTTCTTTAAAATTAAACTCTTCTTTAATATGATTGTCATGAATGTTGCTTGATCTGTTCTTTACAAATTGTCTATATATAAATCAGACGTCGCTGTTAAACGGACAAATGTTTCACATGATAGAGGTGTCGTGGTCTCTTAGATATCACCGGGTTGTGGATCACAATGTTCGCGGTTCGAGTCCCACCTCGGCACTAAATTTGCCATTCTTCACCCAGGTGTTAAATAGGTTCCCGGTAGGATGCCAACGTTGATGTGATTGGATGCGCGTGTGTTGGCTTGTATACTGGTACCTGCCCAGACTATGGTGGTGTTGGTTATTTTACCTGACTGCTAAGAAAGCATCAATGCTTGTTAGTAAGTAACCAGAGGACCGACAGCTTTACGTCCTCTCCGACGGAATACTACTCAGGGAGCTGAGCGTGTTTACTATTATAATATGAGTCAGCTAGGAGTAGGACCCAACCCAAACTTTGCATCCTTAGGACCCAATTTTCATTCCTTTTAACATTTCCTGTCTGACTTGAGATGGTTCTTTCCCACAAAGAAATATTGTAACTGACTTCTATAGCAATAAAGAAAGACGTTAGACAAGTTTTGTTCACTGACACCATAACATTAGAATGTTACTGACTAATCGCCAATAACTCAAAACACAACAACAACAACAATGACGTGTAAACATTTCATTTCATTTCATTTCATTTCATTTATTTCATTCTCCATAAAAACATCAAAACATACAAACATGGTATACAGATAAAAGATCGATTACAAAAAAAATACAAAGGGAAGGAGCAAACAAAATTTTATGGGAATGTGGGGTTAACAAAAAGGGCAATTAGCCTTATGTACGTCAACCCCTTAAAAAGAATACACTGTATTGTTGAGAAAAGAAAAAAGGAAAAGGAAAGCCGAGAGAATCTAAACACCAATACAAAAGAAGAAAACAAAAAAGAGAAGAAGGGAAGGGGAGTGGAAATACATTAAAAAGTGCATTAACTGAAACGTAACGTCATTTATTTTGAGATTGAATACAATAATAAAAGATGGGATTTATACATTCGTTTAAAAATATTCAGTGAAGTAGAGTTTTTTATATTAATTGGGATATTTTTCCACAAAACTGGCCCTTTGAAATAAACTGTATTTTTTGAGACATTTGTACGGATTTTAGGAAAATGAAAATTACCAGCATTACGGGTTTCATAAGAATGTATTTCATAATTGAAAGTAAATTTACATGACATGGACCTTGGTAATAATCCCTTAGAACACATAAACATAAATATAGCAATATTAAAATGATTTATATCATAAACATTTAGAAGCTTTAATTGTTGAAAAAGTGGCAAAGTGTGGGCATTGAACGGGGCATCGTAAAGTAATCGAACAGCCTTCTTTTGTAATTTAAATAATTTCGTCATAAAATAATCAGAACCATTTGACCATGTAATATTACAATAATTAATGTGTGGAATTATCAAAGCATAATATAACATAATCAAAATATATCGTGGGAAGTGTCTTAATCGATAAATAATACCAACTCCCTTAGCAACTCTATTACATATGACACCAATGTGCTCATGCCATGTCAATCTATCATCGATGTAAACACCGAGAAATTTAGTGAAAGAAACACGATTTATAGCTTGTCCATTAAAATTAAAACAAAGAAATAGTACACAAAGAAAATGCGCATGTAGCCATGGTCACCTGAGCGAAACAATGAAAACCTTGCAGGGAGAGAGAAATAGAGATCGAGGCATGTATTTAACTGTATATATAAAGATATACAGAGAGAGAGAGAGAGAGAGAGATGGCGATATAATGATGATGATGATTCACAGCATTTGTATGGCACCATATATCTCTTTCAAAAACATTCAAAGGCGCGAGCTCCTCCATTAAAGTTATATATATATATATATAGAGAGAGAGAGAGAGAGCCGAAAGAGACAGAGAGAGAGAGAGAGAGATGCAGAGTGAGTGAGTGAGTGAGAGGAAAGAAAGGCAACATTTGTGGGGTATGGGCGCTATTAATAAAGACCGCGGTATTCATAACCTGAAACTTCCGATACCTGAAGGACCGCTATTCATAATAGGAGAAGAGGGTCACTATCCACAATAAATAAGGACTGTTATTCATAAGGACAGCTATTCATATTATGGGATGAGGGTCGCTGTTCATAATTTACATTGAGGGTCATTATTCATAAGAATCGCTATTCATAAACAAGAAGAAGGGGCCGTGAGAAATCTGTTTTTATTTTTATTTTGGGGTGGGATATCTAGCCCTCGTAGCAACAAGGGGTCATGATATAAGACGGGAGTTGCTGCTACCTTGTTTGGCGTTCAACAATAAGGGATAGAGCAACGTCGATCTGGAGCTGCTCAGTGGCTGCCGGGCTCACGATCAATTGGGCAAAAAAGAATTTCCATTTTCGGTTTAACTTAATAAAATTTGGAGTGGACTTTAAAAACAGATGATTATTATTATTATTAGATTCTATTATTCTATATAAATACAGAACAAACACTGGAAAAATATATGCCTGCAGGGTCAGAAAAAGTTAAACATTAATTCATTCGAGACATGATAAATTCAAAACAAACACAGAAAATACATGTAATAGTTATTTAAGTCCATGTATACATGTGTAAAGGTTTCACACACGAAATATAAAAAATTACTTTAAATAGCCATACCAAAATAAAAAAGAATACAATAAAGAGAACAAAACAAACGAAGAGTAAGGCTGACGTGAGTTGTCATGAAACAAGATAGAGAATTATAGAACAAACGAATCATGATTTACATAACACCTGTCAATTCATCGTACACATTATGAACAGGAATATATATATTTTTTTAAGTTAAAAAAAACACCATATTATAAATCTTGATGGAATTTATATCATTGTAAAATAAGCATTATATATTGTCATCCCATGCTCACTGTCTCCCACGAGTTTGGAATAGGGTCTGGTTTTCAAGGTCATCTCGTATGAGAGGTTGGTCATCATAAACCATTGTGTTATTGTCATGTCGACGTTGTATATATATTTTTCTTTCCTTTTCCTTCTTATTTGAATAGAAAAAAGAAAGAACGAACATAAAATTGTAAAAGTATTACAAATAAAATAATTTATTCTTATCCCTGTATTATATTCTAGAAGAGACATGCAGCAGTAGGCTAATTTTTGTCATTCCTGGTTATTGTCATCTCTACTCTAACACTCAATTTATATCTATTTATGTTACACTATAATTCTGAAATTAGTTATTTAATGTTATTCCACACAAAAAGGGAATTTAGATCAAAGAAATTTGAATTTGATTTTGAATTACGAAATATCCCCAACCCCTTCCAACCCCCACGCTTATATGATGACGACTTGGATATTTATATTTATTTACGGGGGGGGGGGGGCTGAAAAAGTTTCCTTGTAAAATATATTGGCTTGTCTCCAAAGTAAATTTTCATAAATGTGTGACTCTAAGTTGTGGGGGAGGCGGCAAGATTTCCCACAAGGGGGACAAATTATTTT